GGTCAGTTAGTTTGGTGAGCCACAACGTCTTGCTGTCAGTCAATGGCTACGCTCGCGTCAAAGACTGAAGATCACGGTCCAGGACGGGCGTGGCAACTTTGGCTGACTTGATCTGATTGGGCAGGAATACAGTCTACTACCCAATGGTGGAGTCTCCATCTCCGTGCTGAGAAAAGGCGTTCAGGTAAGACAACGCCCCCTCTCAGTCTAATGATCTCCAGTGATCATTAGTGATATATGTCTTCACGAGGCAATCTATTCCATTGGTCCACAGCACTTACTGTCAGGAAATTCTTCCTATATTTAATCTAAATCCACTTTTGCGTACTTTTATGCTTTGTTGATAGAGTTTCATCAAGAGTTGATTTTATATGAGCTTCAGTATGTAGATATTGAAGACCATAAATTCCACTTTGGAGTGGGACTGCCCTTACAGGAAAAAGTATTTGCATGTTGTGTTTGATTTTAGTTTAAATTTATATTTAGAAATGGCAACCAAATATGGAAGACTTCTTTTAAATTGTGTTTCTCAAGGTTGTCTCTCCTCTCCTCTGCTTTCTTCAATAGAAATAGAAACATATAGATAGTCCTCAGCTTACAAAATTTTGTTTCGTGACCATTCGAAATTAACAGTGGAGCCAAAAAGTGACTTATGACTGTTTTTCACAGTTACAACTCTTGCAGCATCCTTGTGGTCATGTGATCAAAATTCAGATGCTTGGCAACTGGCATTTATTTTTGACAGTTGCAATGTCTCAAGGTCATGTGATCACCTTTTGCGGACTTTCTGAAAAATCAATGGGGAAGGCAGATTCACTTAACAACCATGTTAGTAACTTAACAATCGCAGCGATTCACTTAACCACTGTGGCAAAATGAGGCAAAATTCACAACTGTCTTGCTTAGCAATGGAAATTTGGGGCTCAATTGTTTTCATAAGTCAAGTATTACCTATATTTCATTAAAAAGTATATGGCAATAAAGTGTTTTATGGGCATGTTTAATGTTACTGTGGATTTAACTCTCTCGAGGAACATGTACATCTTAGCAAATGCACCATACACTTGATTATGCTCATAATAGATATCACTATGCCAGGTATTACATGCCATATATTATACAATGTCATGTTTCATACGAACATTTTGTTCATGTTCAATGAACAAATTAAAATGTTATGGCACTAAATTATTTGCAGTTGTGGTAACACTCCCATCTTTGCAGCAATCCCAGTGGAAGGGTCTTTGGTATATCCACATGCATGCACAGCCAAGTTTGGGAAGTTAGTTCTTCACGCAAGACTAGTACCTAGCTTTTAAGTTAGAAATACAGTAATTTTTTGTTTTATTCTGAAATTTCACATTTCCTATGTTAATTGGCCATGAGAACAACAACCTTGCACATTTACATTTGTTTCCTCAATAATTACAGGTATTAATAATTCCCACAAAACACTAAATTTATTTGATTTGGGTTTGAAATTTTATGCTTTATAAGTCATAATTCATGGCCTAGGCGTTTTAGTTAAAAGCAACAAATTGTGCTTTATTCAATAAACTGTGATTCAATTATGGTTTATTGTGTATATTCACTTGTAACACAATCTTTATAACTATAGTGACATGCACTTTTTCTTGTTTTCTGAATCCCATGCTATCCATCAGGAAATGGCAACAGAATGTTCTTCGATGGAAATCTTAGTCGGGTTTTGTGATTGATTACTCAAAATATTTGTAATTCATTTGTGATCACTCTTATTTTTTTATTTACTCTCATATGTTCCACACCTTACATCTCATAATTTCAAGCAATTGGTGTTTGGTTTTTATATATAATAGATATGTTATAATCATATACCTTTACTATTCTGAAAATATTATTTTTTGAGCCACATAACTTGGTGCTAAATATGAGAATCCTACTGTTTTTGTGAGTGATATCATAAAAATTGCTCAGTGCTAATCTGAAATGTTGCAAGGAAGAGGTTATTAAATTCCTGTTTTATTCTAATGTTCTTAATAGAGTAATGTATGTTCTCTTCCCGACCAGAGTTTGTGTTTATTCCTCAGGTAAGCGCAGAGCACTGAAGCTGAATTTTGCAAACCCACCTTTCAAATCCACAGCACGATTTACTTTGAACCCCGGAGTTCCTTTTCAGAATCCACACATGTGAGTATAAAGTCAGAAATTCCAAAAGCTACAGCTATTGTCTCACATATATTTAATTCAAATCACAAAAACATTTATTTGGACTAGGATTTTATATCTTCTGTCTACCTACCGTGTATTTTGAGAAATTTAGAATATACTACTATTGTTTTTGAATGTACATAAAAATCCATGTTATTTTTCATTGACATATTCCCTTATGATTAAAGTCATTAAATGAGTAAACTGATTAATGCTTCTCTATTTTTCAAGTTTGTTATATTCTTACTTTCTACATGTATTTACAAAAGATACAGTTGAGGCATTTCATTTCTAAAAAAAATCCTTAAAAAAATAAACCCTGATAAAATACAGATTTCCGGGAATTACTAGATTCATTAAGCTTTCAAGAAAGAGCATCAAGAATAGTCTTATGTTCAGAAGTAAAGTTGACAGATGTATAAAACAGTTGGGCATTTAATATAGTAGGACATATCTTGAAACCCCATCTGTTTCCTCAGGCTGCAAGTGTAGTAAAATCTGGAATTCTTTACCTTTCATTTTAAGAATTCAGAAGCTTATTGATGAAGTTCATAAGAACCTTTATATATCTTAATTCCCTCAAGAGTTTTTACTGTACAATATGAAATGCTTGTGCTTGGCTGGATGGATTGGTTTTTTTTGTGTTTTTTTTGCTATAGTCCACAGAGTTTTTCATTTACCATAAACATACCAATTTTATTGTTCTGCTTTATTTCAGTTCTACATGTATTCACAAAATGATTATGATCACTGCTAAAATAACAGGTGTTGGAAAGGATGTTATTCCTCATAATGAAGTCAACATAAGGATATACTTAAATGATAAGATCCAAAAGCTAGAAAATATGGATATTAAAAAAAAATCTTGAAAGAATTTCAAAGTTCTCAGATTTGTCTGTTTTATTTTTTTTCAGGACTTACTTCCTACAATAAAATATGTGAACTCTCCAGGCTCAGTCTTTTCACACTGGCCTCATATTTTCTGTGCCTTTTTCGCAGTGTGCTTCTTTCTTCTTTTTTTGATAACTTTCTTCTTTACAAGAAATTATTCTTAGTAGGCATCTATCAATTCTAGAGATTTTCTTTACAATGATGTTTTCATCCAGTGACTTCCCAATTGAAATTTCTCTTTGTGATAATGGCTTTTGTCATAATAGCTTCAAACCCTGGCATCCTTATGCTGGCATCCTTTCACTTATGCTGCTTATTGCTATGTTCTTAAAGTTAAATGGCATTATCAAAATAGAAAATGGAAGAAAGCTTTTTCTAGTAGTAGTAGTAATTAACTTTCGAAGACTATAGTGAATTTGGGATTGTTCCAATGCAATTCCTGTATAACTTGTGCTTGACTGAAATACAGCATTGTTATCTTTTTCAGTGAATAAATCTAATCCATAATCTATGACAGTTTGTGTGATATAAATTGTGTTGGGTAATAATCAGACCCATTGTATCATTTTTTTTCTTGCCTTATAGATTCCCCTACTTTGAGAAATTCAGGTTAAAATTACAATTATCTGATGTCAAGTTCAACTGAATTCAGTGCACCTGCTTCTGTGTATATATTTGTATACCGTAATTGCACTGAAGTCTTCAAGGTTAAATACTTTTGTCATATGTTCATCATTTACCTTCATTTTTAAGATACCATAAATTAACAAATAAGATCTTTTCATCTAGAAGATTTTTACATACCTTTTGAACACCTTTATGTTAGTATTCTTGAACTGTTTTGAGTAGATTATTCAGATTAATATGTAGTATAAAAGACTGTGAACAGAGAGACTAAGACTGTAATTGGTTTAAATATACTTTCCAGTCTTCTAGATTTCCTTTATGCAGTTAATTACTCCTATTGATTTTAAATTGAACTTCAGTTCCACACAACGTACGTCATTCCATTTATAGGAAAGCTCAGATAGAATGGTTCCTTTTATGAGGTAGGGGTTTTGTGTCTAGATGCACCATTTTGGAAGTTTAATTTAATCTTTATTTCTTTCAGGATAATGGAGAAGGAAGTATTTAGTGATGTGTATATTCTTCAAAAATTGCCTGTAGATATATTTTCTTGATTGCAAATCTGGTTCTGCTTAGGAGGCACTGATAAATTTTCCATTAAAAGTTTGTTTCTTTTTATGTATAGAAAATATATCTTCTTTAAAGGTCATTATTTAAAAATCTACTTATTAAATTCGGCTGTAAGTAAATATGACTAATATGTTATTTTTTGTTCCATCTTGGGAAGTTATATTTTGTTTGCATTGTAAAAGTTACTTTATTTGTCGTCTTTGTGATTATAATGTAACATATATGCAATACATCTGTATTGATTCTGGAATCTGAATTTGACAGAAAGCTGTTTTATTATTACCATTAATTATATTTGAATATTTTTAGATTGTGATTATTAGCTTATGCTCAGAATCATTCTGAGTTAGATTTTCTGAATTAGTTTATATGGTATCTAGAGTAGATCATGGTATGGTTTGACAGTTCATGTTCTTTAAACATAATTTACTTTTCCATTGCTAGTTTCACCATGCACTCATAATGTAGGCAATCCTCCACTGTGTGAGGATTCATATTTATATATATTTTGTATCTGTTGCTTGACTACAATACTTTAGATACAGATAGTTTTAGAATCAGTCTTTAATAAAAGATACTAATAGNTTTTTTTTTTTTTTTTTTTTTTTGCTATAGTCCAGTGGTGGCGAACCTATGGCACAGGTGCCAGAGGCGGCACTCAGAGCCCTCTCTGTGGGCATGCGCACCGTCGCCCCAGTCCTAGGCCTTCAGCTGGGTTTTATAAAACCTTTTCGCTTTAGGCCTCCGCCGCCGTGTGCAAAAAAAAAAAAAAGGTTCAATCAGTCAATTTCAACTTCTCACGGGGAAAAAAAGATCTTGCAAAGTTGGAATTGATTGAACTTTTTAGTCCCACCCAGTCTGCCGTTATCACCGCAGCCACACCCACCCAATGGGCCACGCCCACCCAATGGGCCACACCCACCCGGCACTTGACGATGCATAAGTGGGTTTTGGGTTGCAGTTTGGGCACTCGATCTCTAAAAGGTTCGCCATCACTGCTATAGTCCACAGAGTTTTTCATTTATCATAAACATACCAATTTTATTGTTCTGCTTTGTTTCAGTTCTACATGTATTCACAAAATGATTATGATCACTGCTAAAATAACAGGTGTTGGAAAGGATGTTATTCCTCATAATGAAGTCAACATAAGGATATACTTAAATGATAAGATCCAAAAGCTAGAAAATATGGATATTAAAAAAAAATCTTAAAAGAATTTCAAAGTTCTCAGATTTGTCTGTCTTATTTTTTTTCAGGACTTACTTCCTACAATAAAATATGTGAACTCTCCAGGCTCAGTCTTTTCACACTGGCCTCATATTTTCTGTGCCTTTTTCGCAGTGTGCTTCTTTCTTCTTTTTTTGATAACTTTCTTCTTTACAAGAAATTATTTTAGTAGGCATCTATCAATTCTAGAGATTTTCTTTACAATGATGTTTTCATCCAGTGACTTCCCAATTGAAATTTTTCTTTGTGATAATGGCTTTTGTCATAATAGCTTCAAACCCTGGCATCCTTATGCTGGCATCCTTTCACTTATGCTGCTTATTGCTATGTTCTTAAAGTTAAATGGCATTATCAAAATAGAAAATGGAAGAAAGCTTTTTCTAGTAGTAGTAGTAGTAATTAACTTTCGAAGACTATAGTGAATTTGGGATTGTTCCAATGCAATTCCTGTATAACTTGTGCTTGACTGAAATACAGCATTGTTATCTTTTTCAGTGAATAAATCTAATCCATAATCTATGACAGTTTGTGTGATATAAATTGTGTTGGGTAATAATCAGACCCATTGTATCATTTTTTTTCTTGCCTTATAGATTCCCCTACTTTGAGAAATTCAGGTTAAAATTACAATTATCTGATATCAAGTTCAACTGAATTCAGTGCACCTGCTTCTGTGTATATATTTGTATAATTGCACTGAAGTCTTCAAGGTTAAATACTTTTGTCATATGTTCATCATTTACCTTCATTTTTAAGATACCATAAATTAACAAATAAGATCTTTTCATCTAGAAGATTTTTACATACCTTTTGAAAACCTTTATGTTAGTATTCTTGAACTGTTTTGAGTAGATTATTCAGATTAATATGTAGTATAAAAGACTGTGAACAGAGAGACTAAGACTGTAATTGGTTTAAATATACTTTCCAGTCTTCTAGATTTCCTTTATGCAGTTAATTACTCCTATTGATTTTAAATTGAACTTCAGTTCCACACAACGTACATCATTCCATTTATAGGAAAGCTCAGATAGAATGGTTCCTTTTATGAGGTAGGGGTTTTGTGTCTAGATGCACCATTTTGGAAGTTTAATTTAATCTTTATTTCTTTCAGGATAATGGAGAAGGAAGTATTTAGTGATGTGTATATTCTTCAAAAATTGCCTGTAGATATATTTTCTTGATTGCAAATCTGGTTCTGCTTAGGAGGCACTGATAAATTTTCCATTAAAAGTTTGTTTCTTTTTATATATAGAAAATATATCTTCTTTAAAGGTCATTATTTAAAAATCTACTTATTAAATTAGGCTGTAAGTAAATATGACTAGTATGTTATTTTTTGTTCCATCTTGGGAAGTTATATTTTGTTTGTATTGTAAAAGTTACTTTATTTGTTGTCTCTGTGATTATAATGTAATATATATGCAATACATCTGTATTGATTCTGGAATCTGAGTTTGACAGAAAGCTGTTTTATTATTACCATTAATTATATTTGAATATTTTTAGATTGTGATTATTAGCTTATGCTCAGAATCATTCTGAGTTAGATTTTCTGAATTAGTTTATATGGTATCATGGTATGGTTTGACAGTTCATGTTCTTTAAACATAATTTACTTTTCCATTGCTAGTTTCACCATGCACTCATAATGTAGGCAATCCTCCACTGTGTGAGGATTCATATTTATATATATTTTGTATCTGTTGCTTGACTACAATACTTTAGATACAGATAGTTTTAGAATCAGTCTTTAATAAAAGATACTAATAGATTATTTTGGAGGCTGGCTAGATAGTAGATCAATATAGAATATTATATACAGAAAACAATGTACAGAATATATATATACAGAAAAAAGGAAATTACATTAACACATTCTGCTGTGATATGAGCTTGTGACAAAAATCATTTATATCTCTACTATTGTTAATTTAAGAAGCTATGATGAATTAGATTGAAAACAATATGGAAATACTAATTATGCTTCTTGCTTCCTATTGCATTGCTATCAAATTTTAAAGTATTGATTTCAGCCTAATTCAGAGGTGGGAGTTAGAAAGATACTATGTAGCTATTTGCAGAACTGCCAGAAATCCACTGAAATATTTATGCACATTTCTTCCAAAGTGGTTCCACCCTATGTATTGTGGTCTAGCTGCAGTATCTGGTCTTTGGAATTCATTAGATTTTTGGTTTGGCTGCATTGCTTCAAAATTTATTTTTGATTATCATTTCATAATTGCTATTAAGTCATTTATGTTTTATATTTTTGCTTAACACTATTGAACTACTCACAGTAAGAGAAGGCAAGAGATGATGTAGTAATTTAAACTTTGGTTTGTAAGTGCCAACCTATGAGTTTTTTTCTAAAAGCTATTAGTTTTCTCTTCAGATACAGAGTTGCTCAGAATATCCAAGGGCAATTGCTTTGTAGAAAGAAATGTCACCCTAATTAGTGTTGGCTTTATAAAATAAAATTAATTTGGTAGATACATCAGGCTAATATATTAAAACAATAAAAAATGTAATGAAATAGTACAAAGGTTCTTGATTATTGACTGCAAGATCCTGTAGGAATTGTCAGATGTTAATAATGCCTTTAGCTCCTCTTGTTGCAATTCAAATTAAAAGTGACTCTGCTTTCATTAAGCCGTATCAGGTGAGACATGGCATTAATCTGGGCCATATCTACTATTTTTATGTCTAAAATAAAAATAGGTTACTAATATTTTAACCTTATAATTTTTCAGCATTCCTTTGGAGTCCCAGTTGCTGGCTCCGTATCTGTGTTGAAGTATGCTGTAGAATTATCTCAAAATATTCTAGAACTCTAACTAGAGAACTGGCATTATCTTTTCATGAAAGGAGAATTGTAATAACTTGTGCATATTTCAAGGATTCGAGCAATTTATATTCCCACTGTTTAAAACTGACGATAATAAGTCAAGAATAAAGTGAAATCTTCTATCATGAAAAGTATATTTGCAGCAAATTTTTTATAAGAATTATATGAAATTATCATATTAAAATAATAATTCCTACTGAAACAAAGTAGATTACTTTGTCTCAAACAGTTGAGAATGCAGGGTTAGACAGATTAATTATTATATTCTCAGCACAGGAGATGGAGAATCCACCAATGGGTTAGCTCTGTCTTCCTGCCCATTCAGACCAGGTCAGCCAAATTTGCCATGCCTGTCCTGGGCTAGGACACACCCAGTCTTGACTGGTCTCCAGCCCTACAGGATGTGACAGATTTGGCTCCCAGCAGGTAGTACAGATCTAATTTTTGGTGGATTCTCTTTCCAATCCACGATCATTTTTGCCAGCACTGGGATCAGTGCTGCCCTAAATGACCGTTGGAAAGTAGACAAACTTCCACTGGGTGTGTCTAGTTCCATATATAAGCATCCTTATTTCATTATTTGAAAGGACATATTCGCATGGAATTGTGATGACTCTAGTAACTATATGTGATGTATCAATAATGTTGTAGTAATCTTTAGCTTATCTTTGAACAAGTTGCCTCAAAATTGAGTTTTCCATGTATATTTTAAAAAATTTCCAGAAAGAAATCATTGGATTCTCCCATCCACTCCCCTCCTGTTAAAATTCTCAATATGATTAATATAACATAAGCTCTTATTCTTTCACTTTTAAAGCCTCTAGTTAGATTTTATTAAAAAATAAAAACCTTCTGAAAAAACATAAAAGGAAGCATTAGCTATCTCTTTATACTTTCTAAGCAGAAGGTTCATGAGATTTTAATAATAGTCATTTTTATGTGCATTACCTCCTGTCTATTTCTGTAGAAGGATTCTTAATCCCCACCCCAAGTTTATTCTACCTCCTTCATTACAGAATATTAGAATTAATAAAGGATATTTCTTACCTGGAAATATCAATGAAAGAACAGAATCTGGAAATACTTATTTGTTCCTCAAAGAAACCATTGAATGAGCAGTGACCTACCTTCTTCAGTGTTTCACAATGAATTAAATCCATTCCATCCTAAAAATCAAATTATAGTTACTACTCCTGATTGGTTGATCCAAGACAAAAGCAGTAAGATTAAAATATGATGAAACAATATGAAAAAAAAACAACAGTGTCGTTAAAATCATTTATCAGTTCACAAACAGTTTAATTCACTGTAGTTCATTGATACAATAACTAAAGGTGGTTCACCTGAAATTAAAATGTAATGGATTTGCTAAGAAGTTCAATAGATTTTCATATGACTTATTTCAAGTAAGCCTCAGACTGTAACCTTCCGCTTTTATTTAATGCAGTGCAGTTTAATGTACAATGATTTTAACAAGGCTTTCAAATTGACTTATATACTATAATGTCCTTTTATTTTTCAAGTGGAAGGATAAAGAAGATAAATAATGTGTATATTTTGTCTGAAGCAGGCTGTCTTCTCAGTGACTATTTATGCATGTCCTTGCATTATATGGTAACAGCACTGTGTTTTCCTGTCATTTTTATAATCCTTTTCCTGGCTGAAGTGATACTCAAGCAACAATGGGTAGTAATCACATTGCCCCCTTCACGTTCAAAAGGAGAGAGGCGGAGATGATCGTGAAACTTTCCAGCAGGCTACAGTAAGCATAACTGTGTGTTAGCCCATAATATGTTAATAATAGCCAAAAAGAGATCATCAGCACAATTATAGTACCTTGCAGGATTTTTTCATATCATGAATGAATTGATACAGCTGTAAAATTATGAAATAACTCAATTTACATACTCATTTTATCTGTATAAATGAATTTATTGTTGTCTGTACTGTCTCTTTTAACTCTCACTGGCATTAAAATGATTATTATGGTAAAAATAATAGTATTTTCAAAATTACTTTGTATTGAGTTACAACAGCCTTCTTTTAAAATTAAACACAATTAAAGGCAAGACATTTAAAGAACCAAAACAGTATATAAAGCAGTGCATAGATGTGATAAAAGCAAGAATGATTTGCAAAAACAAAAAGATTGAGAGGTGCAGTGAATGATGTTGGTAAATTAGATTTACTTACATTTTCTTTTCATCACATTCCTTTAATTTATTTGCCATATTATTCCTTTTCTGTACTCTGCATAATGTTGGTTTCTTAAAAGCAGCGGTGTGAAGGTTTGATATGTAACTCAGTAATTTATTTTATTTATAAGATTAAATTTTGATGGAATTCAGTTCAATTCTTCTTTAATGCCAACAGGTGGTGCTCAGAAAATAGTTTTCTTTGCCGGCTGAGCCTAACAACAATGTAAAGGCCTTCACTTGCAGATCTTGCCTGTCCTTTTGAAAATCATTGTGTATGTCATAATAATGCATCCTTAAGAGACATGTTCATTATTAAAAGTGGATTGTTGCAGAGGACATAGAGGATAAAAAGATTGCTTTAAAATTACCAAATATGCTAAGAGAATAAAAGGAGTTTTGGCATTTTCAATTCATGCTTAGTTTAATTAAAAGCATATCTATAGAGGTCTGGATATGCATGTAATTTGATAAATAAATATGCAGAAAATATTGAATAAACTTGATTTGATGAAATTTTGTATTCTACAAATAGTAATGAGAGAATTCAGTATGCTTCAAACAGACAGATTTCATTCTCCTGGAATACACTCTAAATATTAAAAAATATTTTTCAAATAGATATTTTAACTTTATTTTATTTAAATAATATGTCAGTTTCTAAGATTCAGATTATCAGAGGCTAACCAAAATAAAGTGTTTAAATATCAACACTAATGTTAAGCATTATTAAATCTATAAATAGTATATATGCATTTGAAAAGATTCCTCGAAAACTTGTGAACAAATATCTATCTTACAATTGGAGCTACAGATAGATTAACCATAATTTTGTAAAATTATCAAGTTTAGAAAACGATGGATAAGTGAAAGTTCAAGATGTATCTGCTAAATACATTTATAGATAGGACTGCACTGTGTGAAAATGTCCCTGAATCTGTTTTGAAATAATATATATTACTGTATTCTCAAGTGATCCAATAAGTTATGTAAGCCTTCTAAATATACATAACATACATAATTAATTAATTACTGATGGTCTTAGGAGATACAATAACATTTTGAGAGGTTTTTCAGACATTCAAAAGTGTCCTTAGGAAACCATGTTTCTGAGTCAGTTATATTATACAATAGAGCTGAGGTACCTGTGGCCCCACAGATATTGCTAAAACTACTTCTCAATGTACTTCACAATTACGACACTCATTAAGGCTGCTGAGACTTGAGCATTACCAGGAAAAACTACAATTTCCTAATTCTACATAACTTGGATAATGTGGAACTAAAGAATGGATATAATTGTGCTAGTTCTGTCATTACACAGGCAGAAAAATGAAAATTTCTAGTGCCTCATTCTACCAAGAAAGCAGTTTATTTTATACATTAGATAAATAAAATCATTTCCTATTTCAGAGGTGAATTGAAGTTCAATAAAATATTCCAATTATAAACTTCCTTATAATAATTGTCAAAGGATAATCAATCATAATACATAAATAAGCCTGGTAACATTTCATTTTATGAATTGTTTCCCAGAAATCCAGAAGATAGATGGACCTCTCTTTTTGTGCCTAGATCAGTTTCATTATTATTATGATGATGTGTTGTAGTTTTAGTATACATTTATTTTATGCATTAATCAGAAGTAAAGGAGCTCCATACAATAATCGGGGAGCAGCTTCATAATCATCTCTGGCCTATCATGCTTTGGTGGATTCTACACAAAAAAACCTGCTCATGTGTAAACTTTTGCAGATGTTCATGCTCAAGAACCGAGAACTAGTGGTGGTGTCTAAAGCATAAGCCAAGATAATGAAATGGTCTTCATGTGATCCCAATTTCCAATGTTCCCTGCTGGCTTCCCCAAAACAAAGTCAAAGAAGTGTGGTCACATGAGGTCCTTGCTTAATGACCCATGCTGTCCTTATTTAATGACAGGAAGCAGGACTCCTAGAATTGCTGTTAGTAAGCGATGTTCATGTGTTTTATGGCTGCATTGTTTAGGGGCAGCAGTTGTGGTTCCAGTTGCTGTTGTAACCCAGAGACTACCTGTATCGTCTATTCTAAGTATTGTATGTGTGTGTGTGTATGTGTTTGTAGCTTTTCTAGCAATTGGGGAAATATTTGAATATATTTACTTTTCCATATAATAGATTAGGATATATAATTGAGTAATACCCTATTTCCTGAATATGTCATTACATAGCCTGTACCTCCAGGCACAGGCAGCAGAATCTTGGCTTGACTAAAATCGCACTAGCATACCTGATATAAAACTAAACTTCAGTTGCATTTATGGCATTCAATTGGAAAAAAACTGGCCCATTTTTAGCAGAGATTGCTTCGTGTGGTACAAGTGTGACTAAGGCTGATTATCTAGTGTATGCCTTCGTTTATTAAAAAGCATTGTGTGAAGTCCTTGATTGGCCAAAACCCTGATTCTGGGGTAAATATCTTTGGCCTCATCCGGTGACCACTCTGACACATAGAATGGAAGAAGAGTTAATGGTAAGGAAATGAATTGAGAAAAATAGATAAGCAGTTTGCTTGTGAAAATAAGAGAAAGAAGGGGAAAAGATGTAATAGACTTAAAGATAATTTGCTCTTGAAGTGAGATGATGAGTACATTAAGTATGTTGGAAAGTATGAGCTACGATCATATAGTTTATTGTAGTTTCATATGAAAGTAAGAGTACATAGGTTTGAGATGTCCCATGTTACACGTCAGTAATGTAAGGAGCAAGGATGAGTACTGGAAAATTGCACAAGAATCCAAATTTATTTATTTATTTAGAAAATTTATAGAGCTGCCTACTCGCTCACAGCGACTCAAATGTCATATGGAAAAAGACTATTCTGTTAGGTAATATGAGTGTATGGATTGAAACAAGATGAAATGAGAGAGTACAGGAAAAGTGGATTGTGCTATTTGATTATTCAAAAATAAATGATTGATGAATATCTGCTTTGAAAAAAGTTCTGCTTCAGATTCATAGCTTAAGCATTAGTCTATTTGAGCATACTTTCGGAAAAGGAATCATTATGAATCTTTAAGCTTGATTGATTTGATTGAGTAAAAGTAGAAGTTGTGAAAGTAGTAAGATTGCTCCTGTTTATAAATTAGTGAGACAGGGTGGTGAAGTAAAAAATCTTCAGACCCAGTAATGATTCGGTTGAAGAGGCAAACCTTAATTTGGTGTAGTGTTTGCTCTAGCTTATTTCCTGAAAACTAATAATGTAAAATAATAAAACCTACAGGCAAGAATTCTATGTGGAGCAACCTTTGGGAATTGTCTAGAAATGTAAGTTGGTAGTGTTGGTAGGAATGAGACAGAGAAAATATGTGACAATTATATGGCATCAACTTCATTATTATTGATGTGTTATTTCCGAACCCTAACCCTAACATTTCCAATATTTAAAGCACAAAAGCAATTTAGGATTTCCTTTACCCATGTCAACCTATTTGTGATTTAAGATCAGATAAGGAACTTTCTGATTGTGTTTAAGCAAATTTAAATCTTTGAAAGTGGTTATTTTGGTCAATCATCATCTACCTAGGATTCATTAAAGTCTCATCACTGCTCTTTTTAAAGAAAGCCCTAAAGGTTCATTTATTTATTTTCCCTGAGTAGGGTTTTTCCCCTCTGTTCTAGTGCCAGAATTTGTACTAGCAGATACTAGTAACTAGCTGCTGTTGTTATTATTAATAGTATTTATTTATTGATTAAGCTTGTTCACTATCTCATTCCCTGTGAGTCTACAAGGTTTACAGGTTTTTTTAAAAAACGAACCCAGAATAAAACAATGTAAGTAAAAACAAGGAACAAAAGATGACAAAAACCAGACAGCACCAGAAGTAGACCTACTGACCCTTGCTGGATCTTCAAGGCCCTTTGAAACACCAGGATAAGGAATACCTGGATCTCAGAGGGGTGGGAGGACCTCATTTCAGATAGAGCACTTGGCAGTATTTTGTAAATTGTGAGTAGTAATAGTGGCAATAGTAGCAGCATAATTTCCTGTTTATAAGTTGGTTTAGATAGGATTTTGCCCTTAAAAGCAGCCAATAAATATTATAGGGGTAGACCTTGATTAATGACTGCCTTGGAAAGTGATCATTTGCAGTTACAATGGTGATGAAAAAGGACATTTGTGACCAATGCCTATATTTATGACCTTTGCAGCATTTCTCTCTCAGTCACGTTTGCCATTGCAATCCGTTTATGTGTTGTCCTGTCGCTAAGCTCTCCCCCCCTCCCCTTTTTCCCCACCTCAGAAATTGTCTGAACAAGCTATTTCTTTGTATAATGAAATTAATAGATAATTTTGAGGAAAGGGGAGAGAAGATGCTGCCTAGAAAACCTTCAGGCAAGAGAGAAAAGAACCTGCAATTGTTTAATAGTCAAAGAAACTTAGGAAGGACCACCTTAATGATCTAGAACAGGGATCTCCAAACTTGGCAACTTTAAGACTTGTGGACTTCAATTCCCAGAATTCCTCAGCCAGCTTTGAAGTCCACAAGTCATAAAAGGGCCAAGTTTGAAGATCCCTGTCCAAGACCAATCCCCACCACTAGCCTAGAATATAAACTGAGAGCAAACCTCACTCCTTACTAGCACTGATTATGTTACTTAGTTTGGGTAATGAAAAGTTTGCAAAGAAACAACCAAGCTCAGAGAGCACCAAAGATGCCTCATTTCAACCTTCAGCTATAGAAATGCTTCTTTATTGGTATTTTTAACATTATTGTGTGACTTATATGTATTAACTATATTATATATTTTATATGTAGTCCAAGATCATTCCTCTTCATTCAGTGCGACCCAGGTCAGCTAAAAGGCTGGATATCCATGCTCTAAAAACTTATGGCATCTATAAGGCTAAAAATATTGATTATCGTATAAACATTTGTATATTACATGCTAGATAATGTGATACATAAAATACTAATGCAGAATTCCAGTTCCTCATCCATTTGTGGATGTTCTCTTGTAGACAGTGAAGTTGTAGGGAAATAATAGCAGAGTTATTATGGATATAGAACAGTTCTTGATGAAAACACAAACAACTTCCATAGTTAAACATTTTTACTTAGATACACAAATAAAATTGTGTATCCATCAAAATTGTTTATCCATCAAAGAAAGACTTTGTACAATATCTTGCAAAGAATGGAAAACTAACTGTAACAAAGTCATTTTATGAAATAACTCCAAATATGTCAGTTATACAGAAAGAACATTTATTTCCATCATTGCTGTGCAAAATAGTTTTTTACGTGGGTGTTTATCCTCAATCATAAGTAGGTAATTGGTAAAGATAAAATGTGCTTAATTTGAAATGATCCAACTCAGAGCACACAAGAGCCTCTTGTTTACTGAAATTTATTCTCAAGTGTCCTTCGTTTTGGATACATCAGTGAAATTGCCCCTTCTGTTTGTCTTTTGTTCTCTTAGACTGATAAAATGTAGTTTTGTAAACCATTTCTGTAAATAAACAATTTTTCCCAAGTGCTTATCAAAAATGAAAATGTACTGGTATTAACACTTTAATAGAATTTCAAAAATCTGTATTGATTTTTTAAAATATATTGGATTATATAATTTGAATCTTGCTTTAACCTATATCTTTCATTTCTTCTAAATCTTCGTGCCTTTTGAGTTTAATTTCAAATGCTTGTAATATGGATTTTTAAATTTTTTAATGAGAAATTGTTATGAACTATGATCATGATGATGTTAATGTTAGGTTGGATAGAAAAGAAGTAATTTTGCTTACGTTGGCACGGAGCCAAATGATTTCTTTTGAACAAAAATGATAATAGGTATTTGATTTTAAGTTAAATACTTAATTTCCACTAATGTTTTATCGTGTTTATTCATTGTAAGTCTGTATTAAACTAAAAAGGAACTACTTAAGTAGCGAGGGCAGTGAGTATTTGCAAGGTGAATGGGGTGGGAAAACCCTATAACTGAGTCCTAGAAAAATTGTGACACCTCAGGCAATCATGAACTATGTTCTTGTTACCTGCCTAAGATATACAAGACTTATATAAAGGGCTATGGGGGAGGAAAGTATGGGTATGATGATGTAATTGTTTTTATCATTAGTTAAATTCTTTATCTGAATCATCAGTGTCCTGGAACAGAAGGCTATTATGTTCTACACCAGGGATGGGAAACTATGGTCCTTTTACGATCTGTGAACTTCAGCTTCCAGAATTCCTGAGCCAGCTGGCTCAGGAATTCTGGGAGTTGAAGTTCACAGATCGTAAAAGGGCCATAGTTTCCCACCCCCGTTCTACACGTTCAGCAATATGCAGAGGACAATTACTATGGAATCCAAGTGTTTTCCTCTAGGAATTGAGATGTGTAGTTCTGTTTTCCTCAGTAGTGTCTGACTCTTTTCCCCAACCACAAGTTCCTCCTGAAATGCAAGTATTTTCATTTTACTGATAATCTGCAGGACGCCAGCAGGAGCATGGGAATGCTGAATTCATAGCATCAGTATGATGGTCTTTTAATTGGGCTGATTGTTTTTAGGAGTGTCATGGCAAAGGTTGAAATTTTGTTGCTTAAACTTCAAATTCCACTCAACTTTTTATTTCATTTTTTTATGTATTCACTTATTTATGTTAGAAAGCCTAGTTGTGTTGAACATCTAGGTACATATTAAAGAGAATTGTATGTTTTCTGTGTCCCAAAGGTTAGTAATCTCCACCCCTTGGTTCTTTTCTATACATTTGAAACGCTTTGGGATGATTTTTGAAGACTAGCAGCACCGTTTCCTGTCATTTTGTGGTGGAAACATGAAAAATATAATTAACCCTAAAATATCAGATCACAATTATAGCAAAAAATAACCTTTCTAAAAAAAAATCCAACCACATATGGCCTTCCTCATTCTGTGCCTCTCAGTCCTCCATTAGTGCTACATTCTGTGTAGTTTGTGTCCCCTAAAATATTGAAATGAAGGGGGAAGGGTCAAAAGCCTCAGGACATTAGTATTCATATATAATGATATGTTATTACATAATGCTTGTTTTTCCCTTCTATCTGTCTGCACATCTTTCAGTCAATTTATACTTGGAAACCTCAATAAAACTATATATTTCTATTTGATTTGCAGTCATGCTATGATTTGTGCTGTTCAAATACAATCGTGTACTAGTTTACCATAAAAGATGATATGCAACATTATGTAGGCACTTATTCATACAATTCATACAAAATCTTAGCATCATTCCTGAAAAGAGCCATGTCTAAGAACTAAAAAGTAAGGTTTCTTTTCCAAGACAATCAGATTTAACAGTGTTGGGAAAACTTTGAAATGTAAATCTAAATTATTTCCACAGTAGGAGTTAAAGAGTTTAGTGTTGGCAGTTCACATCTCTTTTATATCTATCAGATATAAAAATGTTTTTATTTGGCACTCCTGCCACAAAAATATTTTTATACACCTCCTTCCTTTAGAGATAAAAATTAGCAACAATTATTTTGTGGCTTTTAATTTATTTTACAAATAGACCAAAATAGTTGCTTTATAATGAATTTTGGAAGTTAAATGAACAGATAAAGCCCTTATAATTTGGCGTTTTGTGTTAAGATCAATCAATTATAAAAATGCATTGACTACAGATGTAAATTTTTAATGTTATTTTAGTACAGATAATAAAAAAGATGGTTATTGCCATATAATTATTCTAAAGGAACAAATTATAAAACATTTCCTAGCACAGCTTGTAATAGGTTTTAGCCAGGAATTTATAAATATCCTCAAAGACATAATGTTAAAAAAATAATATTTTTTGTTTTCTTTGTAGTAGTTACAATTAAGTTAGAATCTTGCACTTTGCCCCCATCCAACTCCTTCTTGGAGTTTATCTTTTTGCATTAGCTATGTGTACATTCCTCTATATAAATGCTTTTGATTGGTGCTGCTGAAAAAAGTTTTAAACTATTTAAAATGTGGAAAAATTCCTTCCCAAATTTTTTGACAGAGAGAGACTGAGAACACACAGCATTGAATCATCAGGAAAATTGAAGATTTCCCCTGAACAGCATTGGGATTTTACTGCAGAGGACTTGAAAGACCTTGGAGAAATTGGACGAGGCGCTTATGGGTCTGTCAACAAAATGGTCCACAAACCAAGTGGGCAAATTATGGCTGTTAAAGTAGGTGATGCCCATAATTATTTGTACTTCCAATAGTAGGGCAAAACATGATGGAGAATTTAGCACTCTACAAATGTCTGTTGTTTATACAGCATTTTGTAAGTGTGGTAGTAGCAGAAAGAACTGTCTTATTACTGGTTTATCTGATGATATAAATTTTGAAGAAAATAAGTCCTTTAAAAAATACGTCTGCGTATGCATAACATGGGATTAAAAAATGTTGAAAGGTTGTAGTGATGTACAAAAGTGATGTATAAAAATACATTTTCATGGACAGATCATTAGTTTAAACCAGTGGTTCTTAACCTTTTCTTCGCCACGGACCCCTTTAAATACCTTTTGTGGCTGTGGACCAGGGTCATGGACCACCAAAACTTAAGATTTAAATCATAACCATTTCTTCAAGTCTTCTCAGACTCCCTGTGAAGAAGGGAATGGGACAACTTGCCACAGCCAACTTGTTGCGGCCAACTCACCATAGCCAACTCACCATGACCAACTTTCCGCAGGACAACTCGCCACAGCCAACTTGCCATGGGACAACTCACTGCGGAACAATTTAGCAATTCTATTTAATTCTTTAAAATAAAAAAGTATTTTAATTTTTGTCAATTACATTTCATTCTGTCCCTCCTTTTGCATCCTTTCTTTAATGATTCTATTCCACCATTTTTTTGTTATTAGTGTAACTTTTGTCCAGCAATGAGTTGTACTGTGGCAAGTTGACCGTGGCGAGTTATCCCGTAGCAAGTTGGCCTTGGCAAGTTGGCCATGGCGAGTTGGCTACGGCGAATTGTCATAGACCCTCTCCGTGAAAGACATTGTGCCCCCCTCGGGTCCATCGACCTCAGGTTGAGAACCACTGATTTAAACCAATGTGCTTATAGAATTTTAAATATTCTCCATAGCTTTTCTCCAGAAACACTGTAGATATCTTTTAAGTTACATCAATAAATATAATGAAGGAATCAGTTTTCCTCACTCCTGTTCCACTCTCTTAGGAGTATGGATGAAATCAAAATATTTTGATCTGAACTCTGAACACAATATGATCGCTACACTTTAAGTGGATTGCTATCCAAAAGAACTTGATATGATTTGAGGGAATGTTGAGAATTGCTTTCTGCCTTGTCTCGTTTTTCATTCTGTAGCAATAAAGGACTGGGTGGGACTGGAAAATATGTGGGATTTTTTTTTTAAAAAAAAATGTTTTTAAATTACAATAGCTAACTGTAGAAGGAACAGTTAAACACGCATTTTGCAGCTTCTTTGCACAGCTACAGCACTGAGACCAGCAAAAAGCAGAAATGTATTTATTATACATGAATTGACCCTTTCAGCATAATAGCAGCAAAAGTACATTAGTTTGGTTATTAGTTTGAGGCTTCTTCCTAATGCATGCACAATGCATGTTTTACATTGCAAATGCCGAAAAGCTAAACAAGCTAGTAAAATAATGTTTTACATTTAATAATTTGAAAGTTTAATTACATAGATAACATCATCTATATCACTATCTGTAGATTATAAATTTTCACAGTGCAAACTATACTTTTGCATTGAAAAAGTACAATATAAGCGCAGAGGTACTAGCTCTATTAGTCATAAGCCCTTAATGATTTTTCTATAGCAGAGAATTTAAAAACAGCAATATATTTACTGATCAGTACTGTAGGCAATCAGTAGGCAGTCATTTTATTATGTCCTGCTGGTCAGACTTCAAGAAGTTGAAAGCGCATGGAATAACATTATTCTCTTTTGCCCTAAATTTGTGCAATTCTTAGTAGGGGAATGCAGTTTTATTAAATCATATTTTATGCTAGAAAAAAAATTAGAAGCATCTTAGCTGAGGCTGTGGTTTATTCACTTTCGAAAATAAGAACTGAATTATTTGAGAGTATAAATTTGTCTGAAAGTGTTAGAGCCATTTTTACTGTTACTCTATGGTTCAGTGTAAAGACTACCACTCACATAATACAGGTGGTCTTCAACTTACAACAGTTCATTTAGTGATCGTTCAAAGTTACAAATGCACTGAAAAAAATGATTTATGACCATTTTTCACACTTACAGCCATTGCAGCATTACTATGGTCATGTGATCAAAATTCAGATGCTTGGCAACTGGTTCATACTTATGACCATTGCTGTGTCCCAAGGTCATGTGATCACCTCTTGCAACCTTCTGAGAAGCAGAGTCAATGGGGAAGCCAGGTTCATTTAGCAACCAGTTTACTAACTTATCAGTTGCAGTGATTCACTTAACATCTGTGGCAAGAAAGGTCATTAAATGGGACAAAGCTCACTCGACAAATATCTCATTTAACAACAGAAATGTTGAGCTCAACTGTGGTCGTAAATTGAGGACTACCGATATGAAGGGTATTTGAAGCTCTGTCTCACCCCAGTGGGATGGGCCCACCTCACTTGTTCCAGCAGAAAGGGCTTGTTACGCATTTTATCTGCCAAGGAATTTTGGTTGGTGGGGTCTAGGAAAAGAGCCTTTTCCCTGTGCCCCCCATCCTTTGGAATATTCTACCCTTGAGGTGAGATCCGCCACACACCCCCCTTAGTCTTCCAGAAAAGTCTTAAAATCTGCTTCTGCCAGCTGGCCTGGGACCCCAGTGGGGAATGCTCTATGTTGGAGACAGTTGACGGGGTAAGATCGAAGATCCCACCCTGTGCTGTTCATTCCCTTAGTTTTTAGTGTCCATTTAACTCTACAAGTTTTAACTGTGTTTATCTTTTATCATTTTGTAAGCTGCCCAGAATCGCTTCAACAGTGAGATAGATGGCATATAAATTTTAAAAATAAAATATATATATATAAAAATAAAGTTGGTTGTTTAAAAGTGTCCCTCTTTGGTATGGTATAATTACATTTATTTCTTCTATTATGATTTTTGGATACATTATGAAATAGTATATGAGTTCTGTTTATAATAACCATCTGGTATGTTGTCTGGAAAAAGTTTATGCAATTCTTAGAGCTCTGCAGAGAGGTTAAGCATAAGCTAATTCTGAGATGAAAGGGTAGCCATTCAAAGAAGACTTCCTGTGGGGATGTAGAACATTAGCAGAACTTCTATAATGTTTTAGGTTTTAACTTGTCAGCTTAAGCAAGCCATGCATTCGACATTATTTATATCGTACCTAGGCTTAGCATTACTTTTGCATACTGTATAATTTTAATCTTATCTAGAATACCTACGTGCTTTATGCTTTTAAATATTGGTTTGCCTGCTTGAAGTATTTACGTCAGCTCTTTCTGTCACATCTGTTCAATGGCAGCTAAAAGTGAACTTAAGGGGAGGGGATTCTGAATTTCTATGGGAAGTGGCAATAAAATGCCAAAATTAATTCAGCTGTTCAAGGAAAAGGTTGTTCAGAAAATGAGGGAAATTTATAAAATAGGAAAAAACTCAAGAGTTGGAATGAGTAGATTGTCACATATTAATGATTCAAGAAAAACAAAAAAGAACTACTTTACTTGTACTTGGGTCATAGGAGATTTTAACATTCTAGGAATGATTAAATCTAAAGGAAAACAACAAAGGTTAGAGGAACTGATGGCTTATTTAGTGCCATAAATAACTGCGATATCGCTTGAGTTAAAGAGACTATTAGAAGAAAATAAATGTTAAATCAACTTTAGAAGAAAGAACCAGTTTGGTCTAGTAGTTTAAGACACCCGACTAAAACCAGGAGATTGTGAGTTCTAGTCCCACCATAGGCACGAAAGCCTTCTGGATGACTTTGGGCTGGTCACTCAGTCTTATCCCATGAAATCTGACCAGTCGGTCAATTCAAGACACAGTGAATAGATCAACATTTGGTTGATTTGAAAACGCAGACCCTCCACTGTAAAAAAAAAAAAGCTACGATGAAAAAAAAAAACCTGATCCCATAATCAGCCAGATGTTTAGCTTGGATTTGGCATTTTTATCCACATTATTTATTATTTCTCTGTTTCCCAATGCATTTTATAGTCAAGACTTCATTTTTTTGATAATAGGCAATATCTTCAATATCCATAACTTCCAGATAAAGAGATGGATTCTTTGCTTATTGTTTTCTGGAATGCAGAATGATAGATAGCTCTGGAAGAATTTGCCCAGAAAACATGTAGCATGCCTTTGGAATAAAACAAAAGTTAGATTCTATGTCTGCTATTTTGTGGCTTGTGTAGATTGGGAAACTGTTCCTTGGAGAAGCACTGATGATCCAGGAATTTCAATGAAGTCAAGTCTAGAGATCCATAATATGAGTAGACTATTGTTGCTATAAGGATTTTTTTGTGTGAGATGTGATTACTTACGTTATAACTCAGTGACATGCATAGTTTTAAATTTGTTTGTTTACAGTTGCTAAAAAAAATGTCTGCATTAGAACTGTGAAAAAGGGATTTCTATGGAGCACCTGGTGTGAAAGAGGAATTGAATTCCCCTTCTGAAAAACCACTTTGTATCATTTGCTGCCAATAGCAATTGAAGTAAACAAGGTTGAGGAGGCTCAATGAAAGAAAAGAAAGACAGCTATGCAGGCCTGAGATGATTTGAGGCTACTGTATGCCTTTTTAGTCTAGTGAGCCAGTTCTAAGCATATTAGATAATATTAATCCAGGATGTAGTTTGGCATTTTTTTTATTGGATCAAATTTAGTATTTGATTGTCAGATGGCTTCCATCCACTAATCTGAAGGTGAATGATTCTTTAGCCAAAGGGGGGGGAGCCATCTACTCATTTCACCAAAGTTGTGGTGCTGTTTTATTTATTGTAGATCTCGGTGTAGATGTAAGAAGATTCTAGTGTATTTTGGTATCTTTGCTATCAATTTAGGATAAAGTTGCTTTTAAATATTTAAAAAATCTTGATTCATGCGAGATTAATAGTGTAATAGTGCCATCGGTAATGCTTGAACAGTCCTCATTCACCTTATCAATCCCATGTCTTCCTACTGCAGTGTTTCTCAACCTTGACAATTTTAAGGCATGTGGACTTCAACTCCCAGAATTCCACAGCCAGCAATGCTGGCTGTGGAATTCTGGGAGTTGAAGTCCACATGCCTTAAAATTGTCAAGGTTGAGAAACACTGTCCTACTGTATTCTGTCTATCTCAAAGAATAAACACTGGAATTGTTTGCTTTAGATGTTTTTGTAATATTCATCAGGTATCAGATATCTTGCAATTCAATAATATTTAGCTTTACAAAGCTTTCATTAATAGGAAGAAATTGTGAAGAACTATTTTGGATTTGGTGCTTGTACTCTTAATATAGGTTAATGCAATATTACTTAACTTTAATACAGCAATAATTTTGTTTGTATTCTTACTTTCACTGTTCAGGCAATGGCATAATTTTTCCAATTATTACAAAAAATTATGCTGAGATGTAATATTGTTCTAGAAATTCTACCTGTCATAATAGAAAATCCATGTGATACATAATTGGAAACCTTTCTTAGCTTGTGTAGATCGGTTCATTGCCTCAAAGGATAATTAGTCCTTTTGTCTCCATAGGATCGTATTTCTTTGCCTACTTGCATGATTAAAATATTTGTCCTTCAAAATTTCTTACAAGAACTGTTGTTCAACAGATGAAACTGTCAGTGCCTTCATTATTGTAAATATTTCAAATAATAGTTTTCAAAGCACAATAATTTTTTTAAAAAACAGTTGAAAAAATAAATTGGCATCGATTAGAACAAGAATATTATATAGAGCCATATGCAGAAATCCTGCTAGCCAACAGTTGATAGTCTGCTTTTTCTTTTTCTTTTCTTTTTTTTGGTCAAATATAATCCAAGGACTTTTAGTAGTATGGAATTACAAGTCAAGAATTCTCTCCCTTGAGAATGCTAATGGTGCCTTTGCTTTCATCATATCTTACAACAGTTTCCAAGATACAACAAGTGAAAAAATACATATCTGAATGATTTGCATCAGCTATATCTTTTTTGTGTGTGAATTTAAATTTATTTATGAACATTTTCCTTAAAAAGAAAATCTAGAAATTCAGCATGTCTTTTAAATTGCATAAAAATACCAAGATTTTAATATATTTATACACAATATTTTTAAATGTTCTTTTCAAACTCTGTAGAGTGATCAGAAGATGTTTAATAGATAAAATTTATCCAACGTACCTATGAAAATATTTTCTCTATATTTTCTTCGTCTGCACGACCATTGTGAGCAGGGAATAATATTCAGAATAATTGCATAGGTTGCAGTAATAGTAGTCCAATTTTTCAAATTCAAAACTTTGAGCTTAAAATTCATTTATTCTATTTATATACTGCTGAATCTCTATTAACTTAACCACAGCTTGAGGGGGGGGAATCATCAAAAACATACATTAAAACATCCAGGATCAATATCAATGAATTAAAATTATGAATAACTACTCAGAACTACAACTAGTCAAGATAGAGTGATGGTGAAAAATAGATAACAGAATCAAATATATATCAAATCTTTCTAAGTAATTCAAAGTAAATTATAGATGATGGCAATCACCTGCTGAACCAATGCTATTCCAAAAAATTCCATCTTCAGTAGTTTCTGCAGTTTGTGAAGAATAGTGCATGCTTTAATTGTAAGGGAAGGATTTTTACAAGAGTGCAGCTGAGAAACAGCACCTCCTGGCTTCCATTTTCCTTATTTCAAGAAATACAAGAAATAAAAGCTTATTAGGAAGGATATATTGGAGGAGTCCACCAGACGATGGGCACTGGATGTAGAAGTGTGGGTGTGTTGCAGGGCAACACTGCTACAGACAAGTCATATTTGCATCAAGATAAGTTCTGACTGGTATTAGCTTGTATCTGTGGTATTTTTTTCTCTCTCTCCCTCTCTTTTATTCTGTATGATTACAGATGTATTCTGTATGATTAAATTAAATAATTGGTTTAATTTTTTTTCTGTTCAATTTAAGTCTTTGCCAAGCTAGGACTTTCTCCCATTTTAGAATATTTCATATTGATAGCATCCATTTATATTTTAAAAATCTGTCTACTATGACTTGACTATTTTTGTCCTTATCGTTCTTTCAGAGAATTCGATCAACAGTGGATGAAAAGGAACAGAAACAGCTTTTAATGGATCTGGATGTAGTAATGCGAAGCAGTGACTGCCCGTATATTGTTCAGTTTTATGGAGCACTCTTCAGAGAGGTTGGCATTCAGAATTTTCTTACTTTGCATCCAAAAGTTTAGGTATTTTCAGCAGGTTTTAACGGGTGATGGCATGCATTAATTGAACGGCAAGATAGTAAGCTTCCTGGATAACATTGCATGAAGTGGGATACCTACAAGAGAAATATTATCAGGACTAGTTTTAACAGCTGAACATAAGAAAGCTTCAGAATATGATTTTGTTTTGGTGTTTGACAAAAATAAAGTTCATTATGAATTTGTGCTCCCTATTTTCAAACTTTATTTTCTTAATTACATTTTAATCCAATCATCCTTCCAAATGGCTTTGGATGACATACTTTCACACTCATAATCATCCTACTGGATAGGTTAGACCAGTGATGGCGAACCTTTTAGAGACCGAGTGCCCAAACTGCAACCTAAAACCCACTTATGCATCATCGGTGCCGGGTGGGCGTGGCCCATTGGGTGGGTGTGGGCCATTGGGTGGGCGTGACTGCGGTGGTAACAGCAGACTGGGTGGGACTAAAAAGTTCAATCAATCAATTCCAACTTTGCAAGATCTTTTTTTTTCCCCGCAAGAAGTTAAAATTGACTGATTGATTGAAACATATTTTTTTTGTACACAGCGGCGGAGGCCTAAAGCGAAAAGGTTTTATAAAATTCAGCTGAAGGCCTAGGACTGGGGCGACGGCGCGTGTGCCCACAAAGAGGGCGCTGAGTGCCGCCTCTGGCACCTGTGCCATAGGTTCGCCACCACTGGGTTAGACAAAGAGATTTTAACTGGCCCAGTGTTATTTATGAGGTTCCTGGAATCAGTGGTGACTTGAAACCCAACCTTCCTGGTCCTGATTTGCAACATTATTCTAGCTAGTCCACCAAAGAATGCTTGAGTTCTTCTCTTCATCTTGTGGAGGACATGTTTTGGGCAGGGCATTGAATTCATAGTTATTGAGCCTTGCTGTCACTCCATGTATCTAAAAGGATATATGTCCAATGTTCTCATTGTAGTAGCACTTTAGAGAAGTAGTTTGGTAAGCTGTGCAACCTCGCCTTTTTATAGAAACTTGCTTATTGATAATGACCTTCTGCTATGAAACAGATCCGAAGCCCAAGGAACATAATGTTATCGTTGGTATTATATCACATATAATTTTAGGACACAAAGTCATACAGTATAATGTTCTTTTCATTCAGTCAACAGGCCACATGGAGTGGAAAACATCTCTTTTTCTTGAAATAAATTAAAATTTAACTCACTCATGAATCAAATATAATTGTCCTTGTATAATGAAATCAATTGTTTTTTCTAACTAAAGGACAGTGTCGTTTAAATAAACAGGGTACCCATTAAAACCCATCAGCTAGTCAATATCTAATTCTTTAAAAAATAATGCTTTTTCCTTTAAGGAGTAAGTAGATGAATTTTGGATTTGTTCAGAAGGTACATTTGAAGAATGTTATTTTTGCTTGCTTAACCTTAATGATTATAGAATGTGCAGAACGTCCAAAACATCACTTTAATAATAACAACAATAACACTTTTTTTCTTCCTTTGTTTAGGGTGACTGTTGGATCTGTATGGAGCTCATGTCTACCTCGTTTGATAAATTTTACAAATATGTATATAGTGTACTAGATGACGTTATTCCAGAAGAAATTCTAGGCAAAATCACTTTAGCTGTAAGTTTTCTTTGAAAGCACCTGCATGCTTCTGATTTACTTTGCTTTGCTTTCCCAAACCAGCTTCTAGACAATAATGGGATTGATTTATTTAAGGCTTATTACTGAAAGAACTCTGATATTCTTCTGACTTCTTTTATTTTGTTTGCTAAAAAAATTGTTTGCAATTCACTGCGTGAAGTGTGGGTATGGTATGTATGTGTGTACTTTCTATCCAATCCAGTCAGCTGTTTGATTGATTGAACAGAATTGTAATGCAGAAAATCTTGTAGAAATGATAAAACGCAGTTTTATCCATAACAATTTATCCATAACAATTCTGAACCAACTACTTAACGCTCTCTTGATTGACATAGAAAAGGATCTAAACAGTTGGACAGGTTGAATGATATTCGTGGGGGTGATGAAAAAGGTGCATAGAATGAAATGCCGCAAAACATCACAATCATCCTGCTACTGTTTCTTAAACCATATTATTTAAGTAGGAAGGAGAGTCATTCCATGCATTATACTTCCCATCACAACAGTTTAAATATACCTTGGTCGACTAAGTGGACTTGAAAAAAGCATCAGACAGTTGCTAGCTATATTGAGATTTTAACTGTCTCTACCCTGGAAAACAGAACATGTATAGGAAAAGTGAGTGGATCAGTGTGTTTGGAAATAGGGAGCAGGAAGAAAGACGTTTTGTAAGCATATTTTTATGTATGAGACAATATAGGGAATACTTGTAGTAGCATGTAGCCTTTGGAGATTAAAGGAATAGGTTTGTCTTTGTAACACAATTATTTTTATAGGTAGTCCTCAGATTATGACCATTTGTTCAGTGATCATTCAAAGTTACAACAGAGCTGAATGAATGGTAGTTAGAACTGGTCCTCAAAGTTCAGTCATTACCGTGTCCCCACAGATGCAAAATCAAAATTTGCTCACTTGGTGACTGGCCTGCATTTACAACCATTGTAGCATCCCATGGTGACATTCTCCTGCCTATCTCTACTACCCATATCTGCCCTTTTGGCTGCTGTTCATTCTGCTGTTTACACACACACACACACACACACACACACACACCGCTGTCCCCTGCTCACCATCAGCATCTTCTTCCTCCCACTGCTGGCCTATAATCCTGGCAGCGGCATAGCCCAAAATGTGTGTGCTGAAGCAAGCTTCAGAGAGTGTGCTAGAAGCACTCCTGCAGAAATGATTTGCGGGCTTTAACATACTGGAAGCTGCTAGCCCTTCGTGAATGACTGCAGGAGGAAGGCTGGGCTGAGCAGGCAGAGGACCTGTGGGTAGGCTCTGTCCGTGCTAGGCTCACCACCACACTTTGCTCAGACCAGTTATTCAGGAACACTTCAAATGCTTGCTATCCTCATCCCTCCACTTCCTCAGTTCCACTGTCACCCCAAGGAGTGCCTCTCACATAGCTGTCACCTTCACCTTGGGAGATGCAGCCTCTCTTGCCTTGCTGGTGACAGAGCACACTTTACCATCCTGACCTACTATGCTCTCCACAATCTGTGGGCTATCACACTTCTTGTGCTGACAGAGAGAGAAGGGTCTCCTCCACCCACACCATCACCCTGTCTTCTCCATCTGCTCTAACCCACTACCCTCCTGCCCAGCGTTCCATGGAATGCTTCCTTTTGCAGATGCGGCTTCTTTCTCCTGATGTGCTCACTGTGTTTGACCTGGATTATGCCTTCACCCAGCTCCTGGATCCTATGCCAATAAAGGAAAGAAGAAAATGGAGATGGTCAACTAGGGGGACCATGGGGGGGCTGGGGAGGCAGCCCAAAGGGGAAAGATGGATGTGTGTGGAAAGTTGAGACAAAGGTAGTTTGTTCAGGCAAGAAGTGCAAAGTTCTTGTCCAAAAACTATGTGGTCCTATTTTAATGACAGCAGTCTGGACTTCCAGGGCTGCTGTCAATAAGTAATTCGGTTACTACTTTTGTTTTGTTTGCTGACTGTTTCACTCAACAATGGAAATTCCGATCCTGATTGGTGTCATAACCCAAGGGACTACCTGTCCTCATCTTTCTTCTTCCTTTACTGGTACTATTGAGCACTTTCCAATTAATTATCTATTTTATTAACTATGTTGTAAAATTTTATTGTTAAGGCTTTTTTCAATTCCCGCCTTATAATTTTCCTGAAATACATTCTGGAAAGCATTTGCTGATTTGGAATTGTGATATTAATAGGACTAAAGTAAAAACTCCATAAAACTTTCCTCTTCTTTCCTAGACTGTGAAAGCATTAAACCACTTAAAAGAAAACTTGAAAATCATTCACAGAGGTAGGCCTCTCTGGGTATGTCTTTATTATATAAATAATACATCTTATTTTTCAAACTGGATTTTTGGAAACATATCTACAACTTGGAACCTTTCAGAGACCTTGCATGTATCTATACATTAATTTAAGACATTTAATTCTGGCACAATTTATATTTTGAGGCATTTTAAAAGCCCTTTGCTTTTAATTTTTTTAATCTTGTATCATTTCTTATTTGTTTTACTCTTTACTCTGCTATTCTTTCTATTTGTATTGGTGTGGATCATTACTTACACGTCAGTTGCAGGAATATACCTTCAGCTTCCACTAGTAGAGTCGTCATATTTGCTCATTCCTGTTTCCATGTTCAGTACTTAGAAAAGGTTCTCTGGAGAGCTGAGGAGTAGGGCATTTGGAACAGGAAGGACTGGTTTTTGGAAGGAACTGCAGGAAGTAAGGAAAATTGTCCATTGCTTTCTTTTCCCCAAATGCAGGGTAGTTTCCAGTCCCAAACCAAAAAATAGATCTTTTTTTTTTTGCTTTAAATTGTTATAAATTATTTGAATTTCTAACATTGTAATTTTCCACATCAATTCTCGGGGTATATTATTAATTATATGAAGTGCATGGACTAAAAAATTGAAAGTCTTTATATTGGAAGCCCAAAATGATCAGCTAGAATAATAGAAGTTTCTTCTTTCATCCTTGGGAAATCTGGATGACCCACTGCCCCACAAAAGCTTAAAATGCTGCCTAAAATTACTGCTTAAAGCAAAGGCAAGGAGCCTGAAACTTTCCAGTCTGGATTAAAGCTTCCAGCATTCTCTATTGCGCATTGCGCTGGTTTGACTTGCTAAAAGTTCTAATCCAACTCCTGTGGTTAAAGGAGGCATTGTGGATTTAATCTCCTTTTCTTTGCTTTTACCCTTTCATATCATTTATTTATTTATTTATTTATTTATTTACATAAACTTATCATGAGACTCATATATTCAGAACAAATTTTAGCTAATGAAAAAATTGCAAATACTTTACCCATCACTTAGTGGAATTAATGTTGACCTTCAAATTCACAATGTGCCTTCATACATGGGTTAAAAATAACACCTAGTAATTCCTGATGCACATAAAATTATATTTTGCTTTTATGCTGCATAATTTTCATTAAAAATGAAAATTATGCAGTGTGTATGTGTGTGTGAGAGAGCCCAAACGAGAACAAACTGCTTGCCCATAGCAGATAAAGCTGTAAATTGAAAAGCAGGATGAATTACTATTGGAATGAATGAGATCTCTGTGTAAAATGAAGAAACATGGATGCTTGGGTGAACAGTTTCTTACTAACCTATCTCCTGGGTGCATTCCTTCTATCGTATTTATTAAATATAAAAAGGATTTAAGTAAATAGGTATTAGTAAATTCTCCTTATCACTCTTAGTTTTTGCAGATTCTCATAATGAATAATGGGTTTTTGCCCACGTTCTATCAGAGTTGATTAATTGGGTGCACCAAATTGATTGATTGTAAACATTCCACGTTTGGAATGTTTCACTCAGAGTTCAGAACACTTTTGGTGAGACCAAAACAGAGTTGAAATTGGGATGTTAGGGATTAGAAAAAGCTGTATCAACTTTGAAATATCTGTTGCAAATTCCAAATGTTTGGCACACAGTATTGATTAAGTATGGTGGGGAGAGGATAGAGGACATCAGGTTTCTCTAGCAAAGACGCAAACAACATCTTGATATTGTTTCTTGTAGTTTAGTAGATTGAAATTAAAAGTATCTTAACTGGAATTTGACTTCATAAATATGTCTTATTTCTTTCAGATATTAAACCTTCCAATATTCTTCTGGATAGAAATGGGAATATTAAACTCTGTGATTTTGGCATTAGTGGACAACTTGTAGACTCCATTGCCAAAACCAGAGATGCTGGATGTCGGCCATACATGGCAGTAAGTGGGATTAGAAAATTTATGGGAATAAGAATGAAACCTTTTTTTTTGTTTTTGATATGTAGAATGATAATAAGTATCCAGGACGAATCTCTGGGTCAGTTTTAATTGCCTAAATTGTTGGATAGATAACTTGCAGCTGTTGGCTCATTTGACAGGGCAAGGAATATATGCAAGGCAAGCCTCCAAGCTAGAAATGTAAAAATTACAGCCTAGACACCACATGCAGCCCACCACCTTCTGTTTTGTAACCATGAGAGTGTAGAGAATAAAACATTAGGGAATTATTTTGTACATTTTGGGGAGATAAGGGGCAAAATAGATGTCCTTAGCTTTGCTTAAAGTACTGTTTCATATCTTCAGTTCCATTACTTGTTATAGCAAAGAACCTTTAATTCATTTCATTTGTCCTTGATTTCTGGAATTCTTGAAGCCTTGCTCAACCCTCAAGTTTGCTTATCCTATTCTTGCCAGTAGGCAAAACTATTACCTAGTTCTATTGTTGTTAAGTCCATTGTTTGTGGTCACTGTCTTGTGTGACCTGCTACCCAGACATTCTCTGCATTCTTAATGGACTACAAGACTCAGAGGTATTGAGATTATCTCACCTCCAAAATGTATTCGTAGGGATCTAGTGGATAAGCAAACTGTATACATTTATGTTCTTATTTAATTTATTTCTCCCTGGATTTTGGGAGGGTTTTCAAAATGGTCTCCAATTCTAAAATTGTAAAAACATAACCTAGACCTAGAATTATTATCATAAAAACAGAAGGAGAACCCCAGAACAGAGCCATTAGAATTTTTTTTAAAATCACAACAATAATAAAATACAACACTTGTCCTCAACAAGCTATTTCTTTCCCGTAGTTTATAATAAGATGGGAAATGGCTGTAGCTCAGGGAAGGGATGGAAAATGATGTGAAACGCCCAAAATGTTGATATATTAATAAACTTAAATTATTGGATGGTATCAAACATTAAGCTATACATGGCAGGAATTGCCAAATTAGGAGGTGAAACATTTATATAGATAAATCTCCAGTCAAAGGTTGCTGTGGGTTAAATTAATGTAGTGGCATATAGATCTTGCCAATATTCCTAAGAAGAAAAGAGTTGATAGCTTGAACAGCAGTCCAGCACATTTTATTTCACACTTGCTTATATTATTAAGAGAATAGAAAAACAATTAAGTTTTAATAGCAGTGTCTCCATATGATTATGGAGAATTTAATTCTGGCACATTAATACAGGAATGTTTCTTATTCATAACATTCTTTAAATGAGATTATAGTGATCCCAGAGAAAGGTTTGAAGTGAATTCCTTTGGAGGGAATAGGAAAGAGTAGGAATCATTACAGAAGGTTTCTTGCAGCTGTCTGTCAGTAGTTTTGCAGAGGCAGCGGGAATGTTACACACACATGAATTGTAAATTGTGTAGCGGTATGGTTGCTAGGGGACAAGCTCTGTTTAATTTTGAAAAAGACCTCCTGAGTGAATTATGATTCTTAGAGATTTGATATAGGCAACAAAAAGAATTCTGTATTTATTTCTAAGTGTCTAAGTATGCCCTCTCTGGCCAGAGCACATCATTAATATCTCACAAATGTGAATGGCTAGGGCTGAAAGCACACCACTGTTGTGCAGACTAGGGACAATTTCAGTCTCGTTGTAGAACATTACATCCCTGAGTAGCTTTGGAGGCATAGCAAATCATGCACATATTTTAATAATCTTTAATAATCTGGACTCTGTATTAGTGAAAGGACCAGGAACATTTGCAGGAGGGATAAAGGTCTAACTAGGCAGTGTTTTTTTCCTAGAAAAAACCTTTCTACAATGAAAAGAAGGCGGCAGGGAATGACGATTTCCATGAAGTGCAGTGTTGGGAGACACATTTCACCATCATTGGGATCTTTGCTTCCACTTAAGAGAAAAAGAGTCATTGAAATAGGTTTGGAAATTAGGATTCAGGTTTACTGTGAAAAGAGAGTGGAGGCGCCTTGAATGTCCAAACTTTAGTATGATAGTAAGTACTCTTTAAAATGTGCCTAAATTTGCATTGAGCAAAAAGCAGCTTCACACTCCCTTTTCAGAGCATGCTCCTGATCTGAATTAAAAGCACATTGGTTTCTTACCATGATCTCCCCCTCAGGTTGTGTCGTAAATTATACAAGCAACTAGAGACTCGGTTTAAGCATCAGTTTTAAGAAATGCTTGACATGTAGTTAGGCCTGAAGTATGGTTAGTTTGTTGATGTATAAACAATTGATCAAATTATGCTTAACTGGCACAATTCATACAGAGCCCAGAAATTGCTAACCAGATTCTAGACTTCTGTTTGGTTTTTGTTCTTCCTTAAAGTGATGTTTGATGAGGGAAATGTTGATGTTAACCTGAAATCTTACCTCCATCTCACTGTGTAATCTTTATACCATTTCTTCATACATTTGATCTTTTTCCTTTATACCTGATTTTTTCCTATCTTATTTCAGCCAGAGAGGATAGACCCTAGTGCATCCAGGCAAGGATATGATGTCCGTTCTGATGTTTGGAGCTTAGGGATTACATTGGTAAGAAATAGTGGGTGTTGCTGAAGAGAAGTTCTTAAATCTGCTTATGAAATGATAGAAGGGTTTGGGAAATGCAAAAGGTGTTGCTTTTATAAAGATAAAATATCTGCCTATCTGAATGTCTCAGAAGTACATAGCTTGGGCTTCTTTGTCCACTTTTTCAGTTTTGTTGTACCATGTAGTGCTGCCCCCTAGTGGACATATAAAATCATCGCTTGTGTAAAGAGTAGAAAGTAGAAAGCCATGTCTTTTTAGCATAAATGGACTCGGGGTACCCGTCTAATGAGAAAGTTTAAAATCATTGGTCAGCACCAGTGGCAGATTTGAAGGAGCATGCAACATTAACCTTTTCATCATTAGTATAATTTTTTATATATGTATCCTTGACTATGAGAAATAAATGTTTGTTCTGTTTAGCTTCAACTGATTAGCCCTGACTTTTCTTGAATCAAGGCTATGTACTTTGTGCGAAGCTATATTAGAAGATTGTCACAAAGCTACAGTTTATACAGAACGTACACATTTTAATGGGAATGGCCAAGTATGATCTCCCAGGCACAACTGAAGGGATTACTACTTGTATATCATGTCCTCAGTAACTTAGGATGTAAACTATTAAAAGTTCATTTCCCTTGTACTGGCTTACCATACTTTGTGATAATCTGTAGTTTCACTGCTGCTGCTTTCAGCTGATCTAAGGTAGAGCCTTATTTATAGTGAATTATTGAATTATAATAATAATAATTTTTATTTTGCGGTCACAGACCAAAATGCAAGAGCAACAAAAGAAAACACAAGAAAAATATAATCACAAACAATTAAGCACCAGAAGCCTTGGCTAAAGGGAATTACAACGTTCTCCTCTAATAGTTACAGCTCTTAAAAGAAATTTAGAAACCTGATAAGTAATATAGGAGGAGCCATCCCCTAGACAATATAAAACCAAATTACTAACATTAGAACCAGAGGGATCAATTCCAAGGAGAGACAATAATTTAATTCTGCCTGTGTTATACATAGGGCAGTATGATAAGACATGCTCCACAGTTTCAACTTCGGCCCTATCACAGGGGCATAGTCGCTCACTAAACGGGAGCCTCTTAAATTGCCCGTCGAGTAGTGCTGAGGGCAAGACATTGAAACGGGCCAGGGAAAAGACTCTTCTATACTTGGGGATGGTTAGAGTGTAGAAATATGAAGCCATCCTCAATCCATAATTATTAGAATGGCTGAAGATCAAAGGGTAGCAGGTTTTGTTGGCTCTGGCTCTTAAATATTGCAAATCTATGTCCACAAGCCGTTGGACGAATTATTGAATTTATTTCACAGGAAGGTAGCCTTCAAATGACTAAGCTTAACACAATGCTTAAAATACTTGTTTCTTCATGCATAGTGGATATAATTGCCTAGATCTTTACTCTTAATTATTTAGGAATGTTAGATCTGCAGTTCACTTACTGTCTCAGTTGGAATGCTTTGATTTGTGTTTTATAATTTTTATAGAACTGTTGTATTACATTATATCCCTCACCCAGCTCCTTCAGAAGGAAGAATAGTGTACAATAAACAATAGCAGCAATAACTGTTTCTATTTTAGTGAACTTTGTGTTGAATAATTCAGCCTGTGTGTTTTGTGCTGTCTCTTTGCTGCAGTATGAGTTAGCCACAGGACGTTTTCCCTATCCTAAATGGAATAGTGTATTTGATCAGCTGACACAAGTGGTCAAAGGAGATCCACCACAATTGAGCAACTCAGAGGAACGGGAGTTCTCCCAAAGTTTTATCAACTTTGTCAACTTGTGGTGAGTATGTCTCATTCTGATCTTATTCTGGATGAATGTTTTAGGGCATTTATTCTCACGGGGTCCGTGAAGGCTTGAAGAAATGTAAATCTTGAATTAAGTCTTGGGGACTTAACTTGTGGCCATGGTCCATGGCTACAAAAGGTATTTAAAGGGGGTCCATGGTGAAGAAAAGGATGAGAACCACTGGTTTAGGGTATATGCCTATAATATCTATATAAATAAATTTGTGTAACATGCTAAGGTTAAATATGTTTGTTTTTCAAAAGTAAATCCAACCAGTGTGTTTTTTGCATAACATGGTTGATGCCTTACACTTCTTAAAGCATGATAATGGGAACTAGTCAACTATAACTTATTTAATAAGCCTTTCTTAGTAATGTATTCCAATCACTTCAGACAGTTAAATTTCAGATTTTAAATTAATACTAGTCTTTATTTACTGTGACATTTCTGTGTAACCTTGAAAAATATTTTTTCTGCAAAGCTAATTTTAAGAAAGATAGGGAATTTTTAAAATGCAAAGGAAAGGAAACCTGTAAAATAACACTTTTTAAAAAAAAGATCATAAAATGCAAAAAGGAAATTCACAGCATAACCAAAAATATTGTTTAAAATTAAAAAGCTCAAATTATTATAACTTATTTATAAGTCCTGAGTAAACAGAATGATCTGTGCTAATTGAACCACAAAATTGAATCCTGTATCTGGGGTGTTACGACTGAGTAGGTATTTTCATTTTAAGTATGAATTGGTGTGCCATACCTAAGGTTCTGATTGAGACAATATGCTAAACAGGAGTGAATGGNTTCCAGTGTTGGAGCATTCACCGCTTCTGGAGGCAGGTTGTTCCACTGGTTAATTGTTCTCACTGTCAGGAAGTTTCTCCTTAGTTCTAGATTGCTTCTCTCCTTGATTAGTTTCCACCCGTTGCTTCTTGTCCTGCCTTCAGGCGCTTTGGAGAATAGCTTGACTCCCTCTTCTTTATGGCAACCCCTGAGATATTAAACCTTTTCTGGATTTGTGGGACCACCATCTCCCAGGATATGATAGGATTCAGTAGGGTGGGCTCACTCTGTGTCTGCTTGATAAGAGATTGTGACCATCAGGGGCCGCATACATGTCTTTTCAGTTGCAAACCCCTCCCTTGGAACTGCACTCTGCAAATACACAATTAACCCTCCTGGCTTTTAGAAAATTGACAAAAATCTGATTGTTCCATCAAGCTGAGAGAACAGTTGTGATTTCCTCTTGGGTTGCGGTTTAAGGCCTTTTTACTATTGCTGTTACTGTATTTATTCAGGGTTTGCAGTTCCATAGGAATGTGGGACATAGTTGTATGGTTATAATTTCCAATATTGGAAAGCTATCCACTGCTCAGACTTGGTAGATTGGAGTGGCCTATAAATCTTGCAATTGAATGAAAGTTAATCACAATCATTTGTCAATCACAAGTTCATGTTGGTTGAAATGCATTGGCAATCCTTTATTACTTTGTGCGTTACAGAAAGCTAAAGTCAGTTATAATTTCTTTTGCTGACATGAAGGAACAGCTCACATAAAGAGAGTTTTTCAGTAGCTTATTAAACTAAACTGAAGCTTAGCTTGTTAAACTAAACTGTTTCAATCTGGATAGAATGGCTCTTCCTGCTGGTTTTCATGTAAATGTTGTTTTCACAATACAGCTATTCTTAATGGACTGCAGGAGTTGATGTATAGAAAAGCTTTAACAAAGTGATGTTATTTATTTTGTAGCATTGGGAAAGTCCAAGGTTTTTTCTTAAAAAGAAGCTGTTATTTTCCCTATTTTCCAGCTTTGTTCTGTCTGATTATTGATCAACTGTTAATTATTGATTATTGGTATTTTGACAGGATAAGCTAATAGATGTCCTTTTTTAAAAAAAACTGTTTCTAGGGGGTTAGAACAGGCTTGGAAGGAAGAAAAAGGAAGCACAGATATATGAGTGCTACAGATTTAAGGCATTCGTGAGGATAGAATTTGAAAACAAGTAATAGTCAATAGGTTATAGTAACTTAGCAGAAAAATGAATATGTGTCAAAAAACATTAGAATTACCTGTTTCTGATCATTCCTTTAATTTGTGCTGTTCAAGAATTAACTCAAATGCTCTTCTTCAATCATTTTCATGTGTAATCTTTTTATTAATCTTTTTAGCCTTACTAAGGATGAATCCAAAAGGCCAAAGTATAAGGAGCTTCTGGTGAGTATGGAGTAAGAACCTATCAGCAAAAGTTAACTGAAGGTTTAGATGATCCCTGTCATGAAGAATCATTGAAGCTCTGTAAACGAAACATTGGTACTTTTCATGCTGTAGAATATCACCTATATTGCACATATAGAATTAAGTGATGGTTGCTTCTCTGTGTGGTGTACAAATCATCTTTTCCCCTAGGTTTGGATTATAAAATTGAAATTCTGTGCTTGGATAATAGACTTGCACAACAATTTATTGTAAATAATTTGTAAACTTCATTTGAAGGGCTTCAGTCAAATCATGTCTGTGTTACAGATTCTTATTCTAAATGTTTTATGGCTATTTTAAACCATTGAGGATTGTTTTTTCCTAATAAGAATTTTTTAGAAATCATGGCAATAGCTCATAGAATTTAAGATACATAGAAACACTGAATACTTTTAAGTCCTATAGATACCTTTTGTGATCACGTTTACTGACAGTGAGACTGTTTTGTTCCTCTTTTCTTCCAGAAACATCCCTTCATTCTAATGTATGAGGAACGAACAGTGGATGTTGCATGCTATGTTTGTAAAATCCTGGATCAAATGCCAACAACTCCCAGCTCACCAATGTATGTTGATTGATACTGCTGCTATATCAAAACTGTAGTGCAAGTGCTGAGAGAAAGCAAGATGTACAGAATCTTCACCCCATATTGCAGTGTTTTAATGCTCGCCCAGACACCATGTGCAATAATGTTGGTGTTTCTCCTCCATTCTGTCTGTATATCATTGTCACTTACAAAGTGCATCCATGTAATATCCGATTTCACAGTGTTAGTGTCAAGTCAAAGAGAGACTTTGTTTCGCTCTTTTTGTGGACATAATACATAAAAATGTGGAAATAAGTAACATTTTATTTGTTGGCCGTGATTGGATAGCACCTAAAGTTAAGTTCTAAACTCAGAAGCTTCTCAGCAGCTACTGGAGGGATTTTATTCTCAAACTCTTCCAACTGCTACAAATAATTTAAAGGGAAGGAAGTTAGTTGTTGGTCTGTCTGATTCGAAACGTAAAAAAATACTGCCTGGGAGACAGTAACTTGTGCAGCCGAATGGAGCTACTTTTACCTTCTGGAGCTAGCAAAGGCAAACGGGGGATAATATATAAATATATAAATATATATATAAATATATTTTTCTTCACAAAGTGCAATAGATTGAGTTGAAATTCTGTTGCTTTTCAGCCACAGTGTATATTTTTTAAAACAGTGCAGCTCAGCAGAACTTCATAGTGTTGGGGGAGGAAAGAGTGATCATGTAAAATGGATTATTTCTTTACCAAAAACATTCAGTGCGTTGAAAGAGCTAACAATTCAACTTACAAGAGAGGAGGAATAATGTATTCTTTCACTTTCCGAGGAAACCGATCTTCAGCAGAACTAGTATCCTACAAACTGTTAACCAATGACATAAAATTCTGAACTGAGGAATTATTAAACTATTCAGTGGAATTTAACTGGCTTGTGACCCCTGATTTCTAACTGTAACCTGGTGATTAGCTGGCTAACTTTCACATTTGGAAAGGACAGTGGATGGCCTGCAGTTGTGAATGACATTATTAATGATCTCCTGGTGTGGTTTGGATCTCTGCTTCATGTCTGATACCCAGTATCAAAGCAGATAAGCTTCCTCCCTCTCTTTCAATCAGATATTTGTACTTCCAAAATCATAGCAAAATGGTGCTAATTAGTTTGATGTACTTCTTGGATGATGAATTCAATTTCCACTGAATTATTCTGAAAATGGAATTCAGTTTTTACGATGGCTTATTGATATATATTATGGAGAAAATTGCTGAGCCATCACCAACCTGATGGCACATAATCAATATTGCTAATATAAGGGGATTAATGTGTTAAATTCTTCAGAGGACAGAGTGACAGAACAAGGAATTTTAATATTGTCAATACAAAAACAAGCCATACAAAGTTAAACCGGTATTAATTTTTTCAGCTATATTTCATGAAATACTCATTTCTAAGTGACAACGGAAAGGAAGTGACCTTTTAAAGACACAGCAGAAACAAAATTTTATTTCTGTAGCCAGTTAACTGTTATATTTCTAGTTTACCAACTTTAATAAACTTTCAAGAGGTAAAACAGTCAAAACAAGAACCTTTGTCTCTGCAAGAACATATGAAATAAAAAATGAGATATTGTTTGAATGGAATTTGGATTTTAATAATGCAATAATTGTTCTTTTTAGTCCTTTCAGGCAAAAAAAAGTACAGAATCTCCCAGCCTTACATAACAATCTCCTGTTGGCTCTTCCTTGTCGTTACCAAAAATAAAAAAAAAATGAATAATTGTTATAGAGCCCCATTTCCCAATTCTATTATTTGTTTATATAAGCAGAATATTTCCATGCAGTTGATCAGAAAATGGAGGTAGCTTCCAACGCAGGCTCAGTGCGATGGAAGTCCTAGCATATTAATCATAGATTGTTATAATATACTATTAAGGGTGCAGCATTTATATTACAGTGTATGTTTATAAAGATGTATAGTGTTCAGAAGCTGTGAAAATAGTGTAAGAACTGTACATTGTGAGCTCTGGTTAATTTTTTCTTCTTGTACTATAGCAAAAAGTGTATAAAAGTTTATTGATAAGTTGATGTGCAGGGATATTGCCTAATCGTCTGTAAGTAAAATGGAGTTTCACAACATGATGGCTTTTAAGAGCTTCCAACTATTTTATCTTTTCCTGAATTGACTTCCTGTTCTATTTAAGATATTCTACATGGAATCAAAGTGTTTAATGTAATAGTTCTATTTTTTTTCTCGCCTGCAGGTCAGTTGTAATAAATCAAGGATGCAACGTAGACCTTGTTAATTTTTATTATAAGGTCAGGTATGCAGTGGGGAAATCAATAAATGCCACCTTTCTCTGGCCAGTTTCCCCTATTTAATGAAAAGAAAAGAATTAAAATAGATGGCGGAACTAAGGTGATTCTTTTCCCATCTTAAACAAAAACCATAAGCTCTATTTGATCATTGATGTATTTTAAACAGGTATTTGTCCTTGCCTCATGAACCATTTCTGTTGATGCATCACCTAAATAATCATGATTACTTAACTACTATTGCAACTGGAACCTGGAGTATTGCTTGAGTGGTCTAGTCATTTCTTATGTGTATTTTTAATGTATCCCAAAACTTCACTATTTCGGCAGTGGCATCATAAGAGCATAAGCTGTGCACTCCTGGGTGTGACTCCTGACCCATCAGCAGTCTGTTCTCATGGTGGCCAACCAACGGTCCAAGAAAGCTCACTGGTCTTCCAATTGGTGGTCTTCAGAGGCAATTGTATTGCCATTGAGGCTAATCGCCATTGATCCCCATGATTTTCTTGAATTGGTCCAAACCTTTTTTGAAGCCAGTTAAGCTGGTAGTCAGCATTGAAGTGAATCCCAAGGTTGAATCATGCATTATGTAAAAAAAATACTTCCTTTCTCCATATTTCCTGACTCTTCCAGGATTCAATTTCATTGGGTGATCTCTCGTTCTAGGATTTTTGAGAAGGGGAAATAGCTTCTAGTCCCCTTGCATCTTGTCACACCATGCATAATTTTTTGTATACCTCAATCATGTATCTTCTCATTTACCTCCTTTCTAATCTAAAAAGCCTCACGTCACAATTGTTCTTCATAGGAAAGTGTTCCAGCCCTCGAGTTGCCCATTTCTCTTTTCTCCACATAATGATCACAGCTGAGCTTGGAATTTCTGTCATAAGTCTTTGGGGTTGTTAAGCCGATCACCATGTGTGCTATGGCTCAATTTTGCAACCATTTTACAGTAGTCATAAAGTGAGTCACCATGATAGTTAAATGAACCATGTAGTTATTAATTGCATCCATTCTCGCAAATATTTTTTTGCCAGAAACCGGCAAAAAAATGGCACAAATCAGTCATGTGACTCCAGGACACTGCAACCAGTTGTAAATGTGAGCTGGTTGCCAAGCACCCAAAACATGATCTTGTGATCACAGGTGTATGCAAAAATTGTAATTTTGAAGATGAATCTTTTATGTTTTTTGCAGTCCATTGTATATCTTCAAATAGTTGTTAAGCAACCAGTGGCTAAGCAAGGACTACTTGTAGAACTGTACACAATATTTCATTTGTGGTCACACCATTGATCTACATAAGGGCATTATGATACTGGCATCCCTATTTTGAATACCAGTTTTATTATCCCTAACATGTTGGGGGTTTTGTAGAGCAGATGCATGCTAAAATTCCCTTTTATGACCTTGTAATCCCTTAATTCTCAGAGCCTAGTGACTCAGTGGTTAGAACATAGTATTGCAGGCTAATTCTGCTGATTGCCAACAGTTTGATTTTAAGCGTCTCAAGGTTGACTCAGCCTTCCATCCTTCCGAGGTCAGTAAAATGAGAACCCAGATTGTTGGGGGCAATAGGCTGACTCTGTAAACTGCTTAGGGAGGGATGTAGAACACCATGGAGCGATAGATAAGTCACAGTGCTATTTCTGTTGCTAATTCAGGGTAGAGTCGGGACAACTAGATGGAGCTGAGCATTTACTTGTTGGATGCCCTTCATGATGTCACTATGTCGACATATTGTCACTGCTCACTCTGGTCCTGTTAATTTGTTTACATAGTTGGGATTTTTGGCATCAGCATGCATAACTTTACACTTGCCCACATTGAATGACATCTGCTGTTTAGAAGCCCACTCCCCTAATGTGGAACTCTTTGCAGTTGCTTATTTTTTGTTTATAACCCAAAGTTTTTATTGTTTTGACTAATATTACCAGCAAATCTGGCTATTTAACACCCATTTCCATATACGTTATAAACATATTAAAACAACTGCTGGTCCTATGTCAGCACTAGTTACATCCCACCATTGTGAGAAAAGTCCATTTACTTTTCATTTTATTATTTATATGTGTGATTTACTCTTTAATATCAAAATCCCATTTGTCTGTGGTAGTGCAGCCCATTTAACACTACTGTTCCATCTGTCAATATCTGATTTGTGTTTCATTTTGTTAATTGGTTTCAACAAAGGGCACTAAAATCATTTTAATTCATTTATCCAAGCCTAGGTTTATTATATAAGGAATGGGGAAGAGGGCAGGGAAAGAGGGAAAATTAAAAAGAAAAATTGTAAAGGAATTAACCACATTTCTAATTTTCCTTTAGCATTCAGAGAATAGAAACTGGCCTGCCAGTTAGGACTATACTAAGAAATGTTTTTTTTCCTGAATAACTTCTCCTTAAATGTATACTTTTTCTTAGATTCACTGACAAAATAGTAATGGAGTCAGATGAGGGTTTTTCCAGCCCAGTCTTTTTACCAGCAATAAACATAGTTGTCTTCCTTCAAGGTGAACATAAAAATCCATTCTGAGTCATTTGGATAGGATACAGAAGAAATTAAAGTAATATTGTATGGAAACAGAACAGCACGTACTATTAACACTTGACATGACAAAATAACATTAAAACACAAGCTCAGTGTGACATCACAGGATTCTTTTAATAAGTACAGCAGTGCTGGTCACAGAGGTAAGCAGTGTATTTATTTACAGTGTGATTTTTTTTTGTAGTTTAACAGCATCCTTTTAAATAAGGATAAAGCTGGCTTTAAAGTTCTGTACCGCACAACAGTGTAGCACCTAAAACTCTTCTGGATTCAAGTGCTATTTAAAATGTCTCATTGGAATGGCTTCAAACTTCTTTGCATATTAACATTAAAAACTAAAGAAAAATAAGCATGTGAAAGAATATTCTGGCTACTAGTGCACTGTGAACACTTGTACAATCGAAAACCCATGCGTTAAATAGTGATTTTTACAGACAGTTAACATTTTTAACATGCAGCAACTGTTAACTTTTTTCCTATTTCAGCCACTGAAGTTAGTCATCTTAACAAGGCCATAGTTTTACAGATAGTGAGGTCTACAGACAGAGTTCTGTTGATCTTCCTCATGAAGATATTGATGGCACACAGTTCTTTATATGCTGATGATACACACACACACATGATTTCCAAACAAATCCAATAGGTACACTCATTTGGTAAACAATGAATTTTAGGTTCCAATCCTCATTTTTACAAAGCTTAAAGAAATAGTAATGACAAATATAAATGGATTTTTCTTTGTTTACCACCCCCTCCACAGAACCTTCTGGATTCTGTGTCTAGATTTTTGAGAAAAACCAAAGTAGTAATAGATGACCAGTATTGCAAGATACCTAGTGAACCGATCCTTTTCATGGGTGGGTTCACACACACTTCTAAAATATCCTAAAATGGGGTTTTCCAGCTCATCACAATAAAATATAGAAATATTTCCTCTTCCTCTTGTAAATCTAAACCAGAAATCGTGGTTTCAATCCTGGCTTCTTATAATTTGCATACCAGGAATGGTGGCTTAAGTAATTTGTCAAAACACAAAGCTAAATAGGAATCTAGATCATAGATA